GCTCTTTCAGGTTTTGAATCAAGTTTCATGTTAGACATACAGGGTAAAAAGTTATTAACTAAATTTTCGGTAAAATTGGTCGTAAGTGGCGCCCTCTATGAGCAATGCTGAAATTACAACACGCATCTCATTCGTCGCCTAAAAAAATATAGTTTCACAAATTTTCAAGTTCCTAACCTACATATTTTCAGAATAATCGCAAAAAAACGATTTAAAATTTTAACTTTTAACACCCTGTATTTCCGAAACTATTAACTTTCAGATAAGGCAATCGTCACCGTTTCACGTGTAGTATCTTCAGCTTTCGACTTTCCCATTGTTAATGAATCACCCTGTATAAGTACTTTTAAAAAATCGCAAATATTGTAATTTTTTTCACTTTTTTTTGTTTTTGCTATATTTGCAATAATTATGTTAATTACGAATCTTTTTTTCTCTTCAAACTTTCTCTAAAATGAATAGTTTTTGAACCGCGTTGAAAAAAAGAGAAAAAAAATGGAATTTTTTCCAATTTTTTCACTATTTGTTTAATAATAAGTTTAGCACAAGTTCTGAAGCACGCGCATACTGAAATTATGTTTTGTTATTACATTTTGCAGCCATTAAAGCAAAAACTAGGGGTACTATATAAAACACTACTACTGTATAACAAAGTTATACATTTTTAAAATTAATTCTTAAATTCCTTTTATGAAAAACATTTTCTTTTTATTTCAGAATAGAAAGTCTATAAACAGAAGTAAAGAACATCGTGCGGAGAATCAGTCTCCTACAGACAAGAACTACCAACAGACAGATGATTATTACTCTATACCTAATACAACCACGGTAAGCCCCGTCCCGATACCTATACAAATTCCTCGTATGAGCTATGATGTTCCTTATCATCCCAATCAAAGTTACCCACCAAGTCAACCATTTTCTCAAGCCATATACCAACCACAGGCCGGTACATTTCCAATTCACGAAATGTACACCTCTAACCCGAGTAATGTGGTACTAGCCAATGGTGGTCAATTTTACCCTACTCAACAAACTGAATATGCGAACATTAATCATCACGCTCCACAAAACGTGGATATCGTTAAGAGACCCAATTGGGATGTAATGGTGAGTTGCTATTAATTCCGTGACCCCTCTCTTGTGATTACATTGCATTTCATTTCTTTCCAGATGAAAAATCAGAATTACCAGCAGACTCAAAAAACTAATCGCGTGTCTACGAAAACCCTTGCCGAACTCCATCAAAGGAAACAAGAAGTGATATCGCAGCTCGAGAAGGTAGTAGGAAAAAATGCCGCTACTGAAATATCCAATACGGCTAGTAGTCTCGCGCGGCAAGAATCGCAACATGACTTGGATAGTCCCACGTCTCCCTACAATTTTTGGTCGGGACAAATCAATTCCGGACCTACCTTCGTTAGATCTGACTCTATATTGGCCGCAGATGACGATTGCGTACCTTACGATTATCCCGCTATTAATAAATATGGTCCGATTTCTCGTATGCATAAGGACAACGGCATCAGCCAATCTGCGCCTTATAGAGATTCTTCGTCTTTGGTAAATATTGAAGTGTTCTAAAATTCATATATGACGTGCAATACGTTCTGTTAATAATTCACTCGTTTCTATAAATTTTAAGATAAGGAGGCCAATGTCATCAGTTAGTCCGGTTGCTTCTTGGTATTACAATAACAACAACCACTTTCATCAACCCATACCTACTAGTCATAATGTGGTTGGACCGCCGGGAAATGGAATGACTGATGGATACGTAGCTTATGGTGAGTCATCGATCAGATTTGGTTATTCGGTTTCAGCATTAAGGGGGGAAACGCACATTGGGAGGCTGATTTTCAGACGTTTCTCATGGATTTTTTTTTGAGTGGGAGAATTTGATGAAACTTTGACATTATTTTATCAATATTTTCAACTATATTTACAAATTTTTCAATGCAATAACAATAATTGAAAATGCCGTAGTTATAGGCTGTTGTTCACCGAAGGTCATCGTGCAAGTTGGTTGTTCAAGGGAAATGTGGAGGTCGCAATTTTGATCTGAAAGCAAAATGGTTGTTTTCCTGGATTATTAACATGTTTTCTAAGAATATGAACCTCATTGCGGGTAAAAATTGTGAAAATTGAAGTTTTAACACGTTTGCAAAAAATGTATTGATTTTAACCATTTTTTTCCACTCATTTTGAATTAAAAACTCGTAAAATTATGTGGTTCATGTTCTTTGTAATTTCATAAAAAAAAACATACTTTCAGTTTTCATAACAATCGGTTCATAACTTTTTGAGCTGGAGTTCGCTTGAACCAAAAAAATACATTTGAAGACTTCTGAAAACTAGAAATTTGAAAAAGTTGTCAATAATATAGAGTACTTTCCGATCAATCAGCGATTCCAGCACCATATAGGCATCATTTTGAGCTTGCACCTGTCCTATTCTTGTTTAATAAGTGACTATCGCCACGGTAGCTTAATCGGTCGAGCATGCAGTGGCAAGCATTTCTCGGCCAGACTTGCTATTCTGGTCCAGGTTCGATCCCTGGTGTCGGCACTGGCAATATCAATGGATAATGATTGTTTGTCCTCGTTTTTTCAAGTGCAACCCCCTTCCACGCAGCCGTTGGTTTTGTATTTATGGTTTGTCTTTAGTTGCTTCTCCAAAATTTGAAACACTACAAGGTGTTCTACAGGTTGTGCACAAATTTCACTGACAACGTTTGACGGCGATTCACGACGATAAATAAATACGATCTATGCAAAAAAAGTTAAATAAAAAATTTTTGATTTTTGAGTTTCACACCACCATGAGTAGAGATCCTGGCGTGTTTTTTTTTTTAGTGATATCCCCAGTAGGCCTAATCCACATGTGAAGCACTGTTGACTAAATTTAATGCGCGCCATTATTCTATGGCTAGAAATTGGCCTCAATGATTTGGGATCGAGGGGGATTATCCCTCTTTATCCTGCCTCATCTCGTGTAGGCCTGGACAGCCTTCGTAGGTGGGCCCCATCCATCGTCTACCCCGACCGCAAATGCGGCCGGTGTAGGCGCTTTGTGGGACCTCCTTTTGTCCTGGCTGGGCCCCGCCGGCTAGGGCCCTTTCTTCTGGCTCTCTTCTTGCTTCGCCGGCTCTTCTGTGTAAACCCCGGGGGTAGTGTCATATTTATGTGTGGTATGGTTGGGTAGGGTAGTGCGGCTATGCAGCCTGGGATGCGCTTTGCTAAGGTGGCCCTTAGGCTAGCGCGGGAGGGGAGGGTTAAGGAGGGTATGGGGGGTGTGTATGTGTGTGTGTGTGTCGTTGTCTTCGTTTCTTGATCCTGGCTGTCTCTGAAACAGAAAAGGTTAGCGGGCAGGGGTAAATTTAATGCATTCTCCCTCGCTTCGCTACCCCTGATGGACCAGGTTTTGCAAGTTCTTCGTCTTCAGAACTGAGCAAAACCTCACGGATAGGAAGTTCTTCCAAGTTATCCGCGATAAGGTACTCTTCTCCGACTTCATCATCTTCTTCGATTTCGTCGAAGGTTTGCTGAAGAACTGTCTCCGTATCTTCCTCTTCATCACTGTCTTGCAGATCAACAGGCGAATTGTCGCAGGTACCTACCATTGCAATTCGCGCAGATAACGGAGCACTTTAGTCCAGCCTTTCTGCATCCGCAGACTCCCCGACATCCGTTTTTACATTTGCAAGAAATTAATTTTAGCAAGTTTGCTGGGGGCTCGAGTATGGTGACAAAAATTAGCCCATTCTTGCTTTTTCCATCCCCACCGCTCTGCATTTTTTCCAGCTCCATATCACTGCTGAACCTGGTGATAGGAACGAATGTTGTCGTGCTACTGCTTTTGTCGGGGCAGCGATGCAATATTAAATTTACTGGTATCGTTCCAAAGGAACGAAATCTCTAGCACCTATAGCATACTGATGATGACAGTCTGAAACATGTATACAGGGTGTTGCAAAATGTTGTTCAGAGAATTCTAGAGCAGATTCTATATCTAAAAATATGAAAAAAATTCCTATAAACGTAGGTCCGCAAATGCTTCGTTTTCGAAATAGATGTCTAAAATAAAAAAAATGTGTTTTTTACTGATAATTTCTAACTTTTTCATTGGAAATCGTTTAAAGGGCATATCCCAATAAGATGGTCAAAAGTCCCCCCTCTGGGATTTTCACCGGACATAGGGCATTCGATTCGGGATCAAAAAAGACCAAGCCCCCTGAATTTTCAGCCCCTGACAGTCTTCCCTCCGTCCGCTAGGTCGAAAAAGCTATTTTTCAGTATTTTTGCGATAACTCGGGCTAGAAATAATATTTTTAAATGCGGTTTGCGACATTCGAAAGGTTTTTCAAAGGAGCAGATGTGTGATTTTTTTTTCGGATTTTTCGGCTCCATAACCGAAAAATGGCGGCCATTTCAATATTTGTAACGTGATTTTTACCACTTTTTTTCTTCTCGGCACAAAATTGAAAAACGGCATTTTTTGGCATTTTTTATTACCTTTCAGATGGTTTATTGCGAAAAATTTTTTAAATGGTGCAAAAGGCCGAAAAAACGTCAAATATGCGATTTTGGTCATTTTTGAGCGATTTTCGACGGATTGGTGATCTTATTGCCACGTTCTTGCGGGTATTGAATCACCATCAAGTCCCTGAGACACTTGAATCCAAGTTCTGATCCCTCAGGAACGATTCCCTTCGAAATCAGACCTCAGAAATCGATTTAGCACCCTCAAAAACCCTGTAGTCCAAGTTTGTGGCCCTCGAAATTTTTCCATCATAAATTTGTCCATCAAAAACCCAAATTTTGACTTTATTTTTAACCCTCCCAACCGTTTAGTCAAGAAACTGACCCCGAGAGCAGCATCAGCGCCCTCAAAAACCCCCCAGTAGGCCTGCATGACGTTTAATGAACTCTTAGTTCTCAAAAATCACCCCTTAACCCGTTTCCAATCCTCTGCCAACATCTTAGATGATAGTGACCCTCGACATACTCCCGAAATAAATAATAAAACGTTTTTTAAGGATAGGCAATAGTGGAGATGTTCAAGGGGATGGGTTGGGGCTGAACCGTTCAGGCCCGTTGAATGTTCCATTAGTTTGACCTTTAACGCTTTAACCCATATGGTAAAGTTTTTGATGTAGGAATTTTTGCGAACAAACATTTTTCCTTAAAAATCCTTTGGAAAGTTTTAAGCCAAAAAGGCAATTAAAAAATTCCGGAGTCTTCTCCAAGCTAGACACTTTGTAAACACTGTTTTTTTGCAGAAAACTAAAAAATGTTTGAAGTGAATCTTTTTTTGTGCTTGTTATGGGGTCGAGAAACCGCGTCACGCTAAAAACTTAAGGAGAAATCCGGGGACACACGCGGTGTACATGTATAAAACGTAGTCGGCACCATAGACATATAGGATAGACCGCGCATCGTCTAGCGGACAGAAAATCCTATGAATCGTGCAGTCTATCTCTATAAGTCTATGGTCGGCAACACGCACGCGGAATCAGCTGTTTATGTATCAGTATTTTGAGTTCCAAACATTCTTTGTTTTGAAGTCCTTGGCTTGTCCGTATTATTTTCTTATTAAAAAAAAGAAGGGGTAAGAATTGAAACAAACATTTGAACTTATTTTTGTGATATGAAAAGGGGAGAATATTGGAAAGTGTGGAGTTCTTGAAGTTGAAGTTTTAGTTTAAGGGGTTACGTAAGCCTCTAATTCTTATTTTTTCATTTGCACAAAAAAGGAAAGTGTCCATTTAAAAAAAGGAAAGTGTTCAAAAGTGAAACAAAAACCTAGGTAATAATCAAATTAATAACTCCACCCCCCAAAATCACTAGAAAACCAGTTATTTTGGCAACAACTCTGGGTCCCTGGGGAGAATTTTTACGCACGGTTTGCAAATTTCTCGGAGCCTTGGCACCCTAGAAACTTCTAGTTTTTTTATTAACTCGGTATCCCTTCACCTTTTCGAACAAAAACTTTCGATGAGTCCATCTCAAATTTTTTTAGAAAAAAAAACTAGCAAAAACTAAAAATCCTCGAAAAAAGTTTTCGAAACCGGGTTGGTATTTTCGAATTTGTGTGAAGCGTGGTTCCTGAAGACACCTGTTGTTGGAGTGGGAGAGAAGTAAAAACGTTTCTGTTATTGAATTAGCCTTTTAAAACTGCCCCTTTTGAAAATGAGAAAATTTTACCGCTGAAGTAGGGTTAGGTCTGTTTGTTGGGTCTCTTTCGCAAGATTTTGGAGTTTTTTTGGGAACTTTTTTCTGGAGACATCAATGTGCGGGGGTTAACACAGTTGAAATAGAGGCTGAACATCATTTTAAAAATTTTTTACATTCAAAGTTGCAAAAAATTGAGATTCCAAAAAACCAATTTCCGTCCACGCGAAGGCTCTGCGCAGTGTTTTGGAAGTTTCTCGGGCGTTAGGCAACCGTTTGACCTGTAGTACACTGCATTCTCTTCCTCAGACACTCCTCTTTCGATTGCAGTATGCTAGAAGCTTCCAAAAAAGCGTAAAATATGCGATATTTCATTTTTTCGGCCAAAATATCCTTCTTTTTTCATATTTTTTTTGTGTTTGGGGTCGGTTAGACAGGGCAAAAATAAGGTAAAAATTACACATAGGGAGTCGAATTTTCTGTTATGGAGTTGACTTTTCGAAGAAATGGAACACTTTCAAAGAAAAATGCGCTGGGATCGGGCCAGAAAGAAAGGCCCATTTCCTGGGCTAGGTCTTCGCGGGACGGGAAACCTTGGTCGGATTTCAAAATTTTAGAGAGAGGATTCGATTCCCGACGCCCAAAGGAAGGTTTTTAGTGCCGGGCTTGCGAAATCTGAAAGAATGTTTTTTTGACACATAATTGTTTATTGTTTAATTCACTGCGATCATTAAATCTGATCCGTTATTGATCTCCGGTTCTCCCGAGTTCATTTTATTCAGTTTTCTCCATCGACCGGATGATCCAAGTTCATTGATGGATCAGAATTTCAACTAAACAGTCTCCTGGAATATTCCAAAATTATAGGATTTGTACATGTGAGATATTGTGATAATCCGTTTTAAAAAATGAGGAAAAATTATTTATTTGGAGAATAATTAAATGCCTATCCTTAAAAAACGTTTTATTATTTATTTCGGGAGTATGTCGAGGGTCACTATCATCTAAGATGTTGGCAG